GCTCTTTTTAACACCCGCATCCTGTAGGGCCAGGCTGAAAAAACAGGCCAGGAAATAACTTTTCAAAAAGCTTTGCCGTTTCCTTGAGAAAAGTGAAAACAGGCCTGACGGAGTCAGGGATCACAGAGTCATGCTGGCTGAGCACGTATATTCCTGCCATGGCTGTAGCCTGTGATCATGTTATTCTGCTGACTGTGGACAATTGTTCTCATTGTCTCTGTGTTCTTTTTAAATCTTATTTTCCAGGGCACTTTCTCCCTCATCATTGAAGCCCTGCACACAGACTCCCCTGATGACCTTAGCACAGGTAAATAGTTCAGCACAGCAGACCTCACAACTGTTACTGGCATCATCTCCAGTTGTATTCTCAGTGTCCTTGGTCCAGGTGAGATTGTTTTAAGGAAGACAGTAAGTTCCATTCTCAGTGAGCCTTATTTCCATCTGCACTGAAATGTGAGATGCCTGAAAAACATTCCCCACCCACACCAACCCATAGTCCTTCTCAGGGCTCTTTTTGTAGAAAAAGCCCAGCAGGAACTCATTAGCATAATAGGCCACACCCAACAGCAGGAACTCATTAGCATATTGGGCCACACCCCTGACAGCACAGCTCATCTGCACATTAGGCCACACCCACGTGTTACCAGAAGTGTGGTTATCCAGCCACACCCACCTTTTGCTTCTTATTCCGTTTACCTTGTTTGTTGTCAAAACCCAGGGCCTTTTTTTGTAGCAGGAACTCCTTTGCATGTTAGGCCACACAGCCCTAATGTAGCCAATCCTAATGAGTTTCTGCTGTTGGGTGTGGCCTATTATGCTAATGAGTTCCTCCTGGGCGTGGCCAACTTGGGAGCCAGCCGGAACTCCGTTCCTGTGCTTTTCTGCCCAAAAATAGACCTGGTCCTTCTAGATTTCAAGTGCAAAGTTACCCTTTCCATTTAATTGAATCAATTGCATTGATGTTCTCCTCTCCCATTGCAGAGAATCCAGAACGCCTCATTAGCCGCCTGGCCACCCAGAGACATTTGACTGTTGGGGAAGAATGGTCCCAGGACCTGCACAGCAGTGGCCGCACTGACCTCAAGTATTCCTACCGTTTCGTGTGCGATGAGCACTATTATGGGGAAGGCTGCTCTGTTTTTTGTCGTCCCAGGGATGATGCCTTTGGTCACTTCACTTGTGGAGAACGTGGGGAAAAGGTCTGCAATCCAGGCTGGAAGGGGCAGTACTGCACTGACCGTGAGTGTCCACAATGAAAAGTTTGTCTCCTAAGAAACGCTCTCATTGTGCTGCTTTCTTACTGTTACACGGGCATGCATGTCCCATTCAGTGTCTAGTGCAATTGACAGGAGTGCCTTTGTTTAGTATCACGCGATGTAGACTTGATCGTGGAAACTTAAAACAACATCATCTCAGTGGTGACATAATGAAATCTCAATCATTAATAAACAGATTCAATCATTAATAAACAAGACAAGGTCAGATAAAATGTAACTAGAATTGCAAAATAGTTAAGTTACTAACAGCACACTTTCCCTTGTTATCAGTAGATTGATGATTTTGCCTTGGGGAAGAAGGCCCAGAGCCCGGAAAGATTGCTTGTTCACAGATTTATGGGAATGATCAAGCTTATGTTAAGTCCTTTAAATTCTTTTGGTTTTTACTGCGAGACAGCTACTCTCCCTCCCTCAGTAAACAAAAAATCTTTCTCCTGAGTTGGTGGGAAAGTGATAGCCAGCAGGTTAGAACGACCTTTTATATATGGGTTTTGTGCATTTGCCAAATTCAGAAATGTAAAAAAATACGCAAACATGTATGTATGTAAAAATATATACAAAAATATATACAAACACACATTAAATTGTATAAAGCCGTACAAAATTTGTGCAGTTTGACATACATAATAATTAATTATGATAACTAATTATGATAAAGTCAAACATAACTGCTCTATTCTTAGTGCAATCCAATGCTGAGTTACTCCAGTCTAAGCTCATTAAGTTCAGTGGGCTTAAACTGGTGTAACGGTGTAGGATTGCACTGCAGACCCATATAAAGCAATCATACCGACACATTGTTAATATAGATAAAGCATTCCTCTTCTGACAACACAGTTATTCCTTTTAATGTATTAGAAAGATCCTTTTTATCCCTTAGTACCTTTTATTACGGGCATACCAATACAGAATGCCCTATATGTTGCATAGTACGTTTTCATAGATATTTCCTACTCTTGTTTGGTATTTCCTTTCAAATCTTGAAACCTGCTAAACTTTTTGAGTTCAGCAGAGAAAGCCAGAGACTCACAATATTCCCAGAATTCATGCTAATGATGGAATGCTTGAATTTTTTGCTCCTGCATTTTATACTTGTTAATGACTGTCCACTTTCCCCAAACACCAGGCCAACATAATTAGGAGTAAGGGAAGGAAAAAGTACATCCATCCAAGGAAACTATTGGAGGGAAAAGTCACTGGAAGCTTTTCCATTGATTTCCCTGGGATCTGATTTGCACTCCGGACAGAGGCTTTCTTAAGTCATCTGGAGTTTGGGCTGTGGGTACTTAGTAGAAGTTCTGCTGACATTAATTATAGGCACCAGGTAGGATTGTGATCTCTGGCAGAAGGGGAAATGCAACGATTAAAGCTATCAAATGAAAATAGGCTATGAAAAAGGTCTTGTTACTCTTTTCACTTAGATATGTACACATCCACTTTAATATAGTAGCAAAATCTAATATGTGTTAGAATGTACTTATAGCTTGGCAGGAGAACTTTGGATGTAGCTGTCCAGGCCTCCAAGCCTCTAAAACCAGGGTAGGCAGTAATACTGAAAATAATGGAACAAGCATTGGCCAGGAATCCAAAGGATTGCACCACTAACTCTGCATACTCATGGGGTTTTGGACTTGCATTTAAGTACTGTCCCATACGACACAGCAGGCTCCTTTTTGGCACTGAGGGGGTTTCTGAAAGCAGAATATAGGATAGTCATGGGAGTCTGCTGTTTCAAGAGAAACTCAAAAATCCCACTGGGCATCTTCAAGTTCTTGGGTGTAGCTAAATTGGCTATATGGATCCCAGACTTCGTGGTTAGATATGTCACACGTGGTTGGTGGGTGGAGCATGTGGGTGCATGTGTGTCTGTCAGTCTGTGCAGTGTCATCACACTGGGCCAGGTTCTGTGCGGTGCCCTGAGTACTGGCAGGACAAACTGCTTATGGCACAACTGACAAATCAGACCCTTTGACATGCACTTCCTGTACTGGAAGTGCTTAGGATGGCCCTGCCAGCGTAGGAAATGGGGAACCTGAGCTTTCATGCTCAGCAGTGAATACTGTGCCCTTCCATCTTATCAGATGGAAGTGGGAGGAGGGAAAAAAAGGTCCCTGAATTGTTCAAGAAAAGCCAGTCCTTTCAGTACTTAAGTATAGATTGCCTTCGGAAGCACTCTGTCCTTTGGTTCCTTTTTCCTCTGTTTTATGGGTAAATAGTTGGACTGTGTGGCACATTTTGGTGGTGGTGGTGGGGGAGATGATGTCATCCTGAAAGCGAAGCGAATTTTGCAGGCTTGCCTCATTCAGTCTGTTCTTTGAGACCATCTTGATCATCAGCCCAGCTTTTCTCCTTGTCTTCTGTGTCTCCTCCTTCTGGGCCCACCATTGTCTCCAGCTTGCTTTGTTGAATTAAAACTTGCAGTGCCTGCTTAATGAGTTCCATAACCAGGCAAAGTAATGAGCAGAAGTCTCCCCCCCCCCCGCTCCCTCCTGCTGCTGGCCTGCTTACCTCTTTACTCTGTCTGTGCTCCCCAGCCCCCAACCCCCCTCCCTTTTGGGGTGTGTGTGAAAGAACTTTAGACTTATTTATTTGAATAAGAAAAAAGTTTTTTCTCTTTGCCAAGAAATCACGCGCGTGCCATAGATTAGATCTGGGCAGGGATAGGCTACTGAGGAAGCACATCTTGGCCGTGATTGGCTGCAAGAGGTTGGGGGTATTGTTGCAGTGGGGCAGCTGCTGGGAGAGAATAGACAATAGAGCAGCTGTCCTGGCTGGCACCCTGCACACCAGCTGTCCACCCTTATCTGCACGCATACACACACACACACACACACACACGCTCACACACTTTCTGAGGACAGCAAGAGGTGGAGCTGTGTGCATAGAATTTGGGGGGGGGAGGACTTCTGACTCTTACTGGGAAGAAAATGCGGATGGGAGCTGTGAGGAAGGGAGCAATTGTGAGTTCTGTCTTATTCCATTTATTCCAGTTGCAGGGGGACAGTCATCTTTGCTGTTGAGCGTAGCACCCAGTTACCAAGCAATATCCATACTAGTACCAAACTACATAGATTAATTCAACTGTTGTTAGCATCTCAACTCTGAGTCAAACTCTTTTAATAATTTTACATTCCCCTCATCAGAAAAACAAAACAAAATTAACGTCTGTGCTCTGCTTCATTTTGTTTTGCAGCAATTTGCTTGCCTGGATGTGATGAGCAGCATGGATACTGTGACAAGCCTGGGGAATGCAAGTAAGTTTTCAGAATCTTTCCCTCCTGCTGTAAACTTGATGTGAAGATCCCACATAGATGTGTTCAAGTTATCCGTTTCTTGTCAGATGGGATTATGAAAAGTCTACAACAGCAACAATGCTGAACCAAATGGTCAGAAATGAGCACCTGCTGCCAGTGATTTTCACTTGGTATCTCAAGCCTATTCATATGAATCTGGAAATAGGAGCTCAGAGGGGCTTACTCAATAGAAATAGGATTTTAGCCTAAATGAGCTTCAAGTGCTCTGTGTCCAGCCGACCAGCTGATTAAGGGCACTGGGATATAAATAATTAATATTGGATTCATGGCAAAATGAGCATTGATACTACCGTTTATTGAACAGTAAGTGTAATGATGAGGTGGTTTTGTTGTGGTGGCAACCAAGAGGAGAAGGCTGTGGTGTCAAAAACAGAGTCCTGGTTTGTGATCCAGTGAGACCTAGATTGTTGCTGTTCTGTAGAAATGGGTGGCCCTTGGGACAGCCAGTTCCCACTTCAAGGGGCTTTGTGAAGATCTGATGGGATGCTTCAGTACATTCTACCCTGAAATTCTTGGAGCTAGGTCAGGATAAAATTCCGATAAGTACATACATAGGTGAAGCTGAAGGCCATCATTCTAAGTGCTCAGGGTTGCATTCTACTGAACTGGTAACATGAATAGAATCAGGATGTCAAGTTGTATGTGGAGGCGGTGAAAACAGTGAGAAGATGTGAGCAATGAAAGATTGACTGGTCATTCTTGAATTGTGTGTTCTCTTCCTGAGGCTTTATTTTTTCCCCAGTGTTTCAGTTTGGTATAACATTCCAGGATCCTATTACAAATACATGTCTGTGCTAATTTTTGTTGCTGTTGTTCATTTCCTAGGTGCAGAGTTGGCTGGCAAGGGCGTTACTGTGATGAATGCATCCGGTACCCAGGTTGCCTTCATGGTACCTGTCAACAGCCTTGGCAATGCAACTGTCAGGAAGGCTGGGGCGGCCTTTTTTGTAACCAGGGTAAGTTCTTCACCTTTGATTATCAATGTAATACCATGGCTTTCTCAGCCTTTCTTCCACAGGCCATGTAGGTTGCTTGCAAAGCCCTGTGCTTCCTTTCAGATGTGCCTCTCATCTTTGTATTCCATAGATCTCAACTACTGTACTCACCACAAACCTTGCAAGAACGGTGCCACTTGCACCAACACAGGCCAAGGAAGCTACACCTGTTCTTGCCGTCCTGGCTACACTGGTTCCAACTGCGAGATTGAAATCAACGAATGTGATGCCAATCCCTGCAAGAATGGAGGAAGCTGTACCGTAAGTGAAAGAAGCTGTAACTGTTTTTGTAATGGTCTGAAGACAGGCTTACTGTCATCTCTATATGCTAAAACATACTTCTAAATGTCATGCTTTTCCTTTTCAACAGGATCTAGAAAACAGCTATTCTTGCAGTTGTCCACCTGGATTCTATGGGAAGAATTGTGAGCTGGGTGCAATGACTTGTGCAGATGGCCCCTGCTTCAATGGCGGCAGATGCACAGACAACCCAGAAGGTGGATACAGCTGCCGCTGCCCAGTGGGTTACTCTGGATTTAACTGTGAAAAGAAAATTGACTATTGCAGTTCTAGTCCCTGTGCTAATGGTAAGCCCTACCAGTACCCTTTTCAGTTCATGAATGTCCGGTCCTGAGCTTCAGTGGGAAATGAGAGAATGAAGTTCCTCTAGAAGTTTGTTTAATGTCCTGGAGTATGGAGCCCTGTTCTAATCAAGGGGGAGCAGTAGGGTAAAAGCACTCATGGGGTTCAGTAGGGTTAATTCCCAAAGCAGAGTATGTAAGATTGCAGCCTTAGCTTTGGACAGAGTAACCAGTCATTGACTGGGATTGGGGGAGAGACACAGCATGTCTCTCACATACAGCCCTTGACCTGGCATGTCTGTTAATTTTTGGAGCTATTGTCCTGAATTTTTCATATGATCATATTTATTGAATTCATATGCTGGGCATCCAAATCATTCTCATGGTTCACTTTGAACAAGGGAAAACTAAACAGGGAGGATTGGGGTGGGGGGCGGGGGGCCTTGAGATGCAGCAGCCCTGATTTGCACACCATTCTGCTCTGTTCACAAGGGCCTACTGACCTCTGGGAGCAGGTTTTTCTTTTTGAGGGGGGGGGAATGTATGACTGCAGAGGAAACAGGGTCCTCCCCTGAATTTGTTCTGTTCATTGGATCCAACCTAATACAGGTAAAAATATCAGCCAGCATAAATAACCTCTCATAAGGTTCCACTGGCATCAATCTGAGGGAAAACAGCCTCAGAACTGTTAAGTACAGGCTACAGTTCAAAGAGTGCTTTTTCTGGAACAGTCTGTCTTTACTAAGACTTTGTTGGAATGACCGTATTGTTGGATGCAGTCACAATCTTGTTTTTTCACATATGGGAAATAACACTAAAAGTTGAAAGCGTTTTGGTAATATACTGTTAGTTGAGGAGCTGTGCTTATGAACATTGCACTCAGAAGTGTCATTTTACACTTTTCTGCAAAATTAAGCAGTAAAGTTTTTCCTGGCTGCAGATAGGAGGCTGCATGTTTGAACTGTTCCTTCACCTTTCCCTCCCCCCACTAAAACCCCTCCCTTCACATAGAAATCTAATTCTTCAGAAAGAAAGAATTCTGTCATGCTGGCTTTATGACTGTTTGTTTTCATATGAGGGTGTAGTGACACAAATGACTCTTCCCCCAATATCCTAAAATACAGTCTAGGAAAAAAAATGAGTGAATTAATTGGCCCAATTATTTTAAATTTAAAAATCTTATATACCCCCTTTTTTGTGCTCCTCTGTTTATGAAAACCATGCTCAGTTTTTAAAGTCCATGCAGATTACGTAAAATCCAGCCCCGGTTCGGCATTTAAAGTCCCATTAAGATCCCATAGGACATGAAATTGCTTAGATCTAACATGATCGTGCCGATTAATAGTGACAGAGTTAAGGGCCCTATTCACAAGTGATCATTCCAGAGGGCACCTGCTTATTGCAGATGTCATTCATACAGGTGGTTGAGTTAACATGAATGATGGTATTTAGAATACTGTGACACTGGTGTAAAGGCTCTGAAGGTTTTTAACATTGGTTTCTGAAAGTAATCTGGCACTGAAATGAAGTGGCTCAGGCCCAAAGCTCTGTTTGCAACTAAAATGTCTGGCAAATCAAGATCACCTGCAGAAAGCAGAATCATAGTTAACTTTAGAACTTTCTGTGATCACTTTCTGAGATGGCTTTAGAAGCAGGCTAGACATATGCATGGACAACAGGTCCATCGATGACTGTTAGCCAAATAGAACATCTATGTTCAGAGGTTCTGAATTATAGTTGTGGGGGATTTAAAAAAATTACCTGGGTATATTTAATACTGTTCAAATACTTGGGTAATCGCAGCTTCTAAAGATCACCTTCTGGAGATCAGGACTTGACCTGATTCAGATATGACTTTCTCTGCATGTTTGTTAGAACATGGTAGAAGATATGAAGTAGTGGAACAACCCATGACATGTCTGACAAGTATACAAAAGAGAAACTTTGCTAAGTATTTACATCTTGCCTTTTTTGTATATTCAGGGTGACTAGCCAACAGAGTGTTTGGTCACTGGGTTGAAATTCCCACTTAGGCATGATGGAGCTTAGGTGACCTTGGGGCAGTCATCATTTCAGTTGACCTATCTCATAGGTCTGTTGAGAGTGAAACAGGAGACTCCTAGATCTCCCTTGGAAAAAAACTTAGGATGCCAATGTAATGGGTAATAAACTTTCTTGCACAGTGTTGGGGACATATATTCATCATTTGCCATACTTACTGTCTTGCAGGAGCTCAGTGTGTTGATCTTGGGAACTCCTATATATGCCAGTGTCAGGCTGGCTTCACTGGAAGGCATTGTGATGATAATGTGGACGACTGTGCTTCCTTTCCTTGCTTGAATGGTGGGACTTGCCAAGATGGAATCAATGACTACTCTTGCACCTGCCCCCCGGGATACAGTGGAAAGAACTGCAGCACTCCTGTCAGCAAATGTGAACATGGCCCCTGTCATAATGGAGCCACTTGTCATGAGAGAAACAACCGCTATGTTTGTGAGTGTGCTCGAGGATATGGTGGTCACAACTGCCAGTTTTTGCTCCCAGAACCACCTCCAGGGCCAGTCATTGTTGACATCACAGAGAAGTATACTGAAGGCCAGAGTTCCCAGTTTCCTTGGATTGCAGTGTGTGCTGGAATTATTTTGGTCCTGATGCTCTTGCTGGGCTGTGCAGCCATTGTCGTCTGCTTTAGACTCAAAATGCAGAAGAGGCAGCATCAGCCTGATGCGTGCAGAAGTGAAACTGAGACCATGAACAATTTGGCCAACTGCCAGCGGGAGAAGGACATTTCCATAAGTGTCATTGGTGCTACCCAGATTAAGAACACCAACAAGAAAGTAGATTTCCACAGTGAACATGCCGACAAAAATGGGTACAAAGCCAGATACCCATCAGTGGATTACAATTTGGTTCATGAACTCAAGAATGAGGAGTCTGTGAAAGAAGAGCATGTCAAATGCGAAGCTAAGTGTGAAACATATGATTTGGAGGCAGGGGAGAAAAGCACAGTACAGCAAAAAAGGTATGTAGCTGCAGTATGTACCTGGTGGTGATGGATGGGTGTGCACCCTCCATGCCAAGTGCTGGGAACGGTTTTCTAGTTGGTTGGAAAAGCATCCATCTTATTCTAGCATGTTATTTTTTTTACAGTGAAACCTCTGAAAGGAAACGACCAGACTCTGTATATTCCACTTCGAAAGATACAAAGTACCAGTCGGTGTATGTCATATCAGAAGAGAAAGATGAATGCATCATAGCAACAGAGGTTGGTATTGCCTAGCAGGTGGAAAAGATAAGCATATTGATCCAGATTCCCAGCTGGCTAGACTCACTAGCATATTCTATTCCCCTTATCATTGCTGTGCCATTTATAGCAGACTGCAAAATACAGCTTTTGTTTGTTCCTCATGAAACCCAGTTCTGCAAGTTGTTTTCTCCAGTTGGAGTTCCTGAACTCCAATGGGATGTGCTATGAAGATGATTCTTTGCCTTTGCATACTGGAATAGTTCTATTGACATTAATGGAACTAAAAGTTAACGGGATGATTCCAGGGTAAAATACCTGTGAAATTATGTGTAGGAAAATTCCCCATAACTTAGATGATGCCTGCAGCATTGTCACTGACTTCTGGATGAGATACTAGAGCTGTCATTAATATGTACTCAAGGATGTGCTAAAATTAAATAAAGAGAAATAAAGCAAATATGAAACATGAAATTCAGGGTCAGAAATCACGAAGCATCTCCTGAAAATGGACAAGGCGGTAGAAGTGGTTGTACTTAGTTTATTTATCACTGGAGGAATATCATTTGTCATCTTACTAAGTGGATTCATCCATGTGGCCAAACCTTGAGAATAAGTCCATATAAGCTATTAGCTCACAAATTAATAGCCGATATGTCCTGTACATACGGTATTTTGTCATTTGTTGCCTCAAAGGGAAAAAACCCAACCCACTTGGATGAAACTTCCCTGCTGGTCACCTGGAGAACATGTTTGCTTGCCACAGGTGACCCGCTGAGTTGGCATTTATAATTCTAGCATGTACTAGTAGTTCTTGATCCCTTGCATCAACTCACTCCTGTTTCTCCCACTCATCTTTTTCAACTCTCTGCAGGTGTAAAGGAAAGGCAATACAGCAAAATTGTTGTTTATGAAACAATTTTCAAAGGTGATAATGCCCCAATGAATGCTGCTGAACAAGGAAAGGGAGAAAGATTCCTTCACTGACTGCTGCTGAGAAACTAAATTCAGGCTGAGCTGGTTCTCTACTGAAGTTAGCAAAAGTGACTGCAAAGAAAACACGGTGGACACTAGGCCAGGGTCTGTGTTCAAGGATACCTGTTGCACTGCCTTTTATGAATATTTATCATTGCACTATGGTCAGTTGCTTTTTTCTATATATATTTAATGAATGGACCTAATATCTGCATAAGAAGCATGCACTGCCTGAAGTGTATATTTTGGATTCTTATGAGCCAGTTGTTTCTTGAATTAGAGATACACACACTGCCTTTTTTTGTCCTTTTTTATACTAAAATGTGTTTTTACTAGGTGGGGAAAGCGTGTTATTTTTTTTTTAATCTGTAAAAAGATATTTTCAGGATATTTGTAAAGCTTGAGTATTTTGTGATTTTTTTGTTTTTTATAATTTAAATTTTTGGTAAATATGTACAAAGGCACTTCGGGTCTATGTGACTATATTTTTTGTATATAATGTATTTATGGAATATTGTGCAAAATGTTATTTGAGGTTTTTTTTTACTGTTTATGATGAAATTCATTTTTAAACTATTTTTCCAAAATAAATATTATTAATGATATTCGAAGTATAGATCTTCTTTGCAAAACCATTTGACTGAACGATGTTTGGGGGCGGGGGGGGGGAGGCATGGTTCATTGGCAGATCGTGTCCCTTGCAGTCAGTCCCTGACATCTGAAAGTCAAAAAGATTTTGGCCGGCAACACTGGAAGTTGGGATTATTCCTGGATTTGACATGGCAGGCTGGTTTTCTAGAATGGGGGGTGGGGAGGGGATGCACCTGTTCAGAGGTAGCCTTATGATTTCTTAATGCATTCAAAATAGTCACCTGGTTGTGAAAACTCAAAGTGACTTAGTAACTTACCTAAGTACATTATCGAAGGAAACTGATATCAGCGCAAACTTTTGCTTCAGTTATGTGCCCTGCAGTTGCAAATAGGTTCTGGTCTTGAGCCCTTAGTCTCCCTTCGTTGCATTTTCCACAACTTTTGAAAAACTTTTTAAATAAATGTGGCTTGCAAGAAAATGTACAGGCGACTTGGATGACCAGCAGAACCATGAAGAACCGTCAAAATATTCGGCTGAAAGGAGCAAAGACTTAATTTTGTTTGCACACTTAGGCAGGTCCAAGATTGTCCTTCCCCCACCATCAGTAAATTTCTAAAATTTCTAAAATAGTACCTCTAAAAGAAGCAGAACAAGTTTAGAAGGAGGCTAGCGGCTGGTTATATTTGGGTGCTTGGTGTTCTCAGAGGAAAGCCCAGTGCTCAGTAACACAAGACTGAAGCCCCAGGTTAGTCTTCCAATTCAGGTTCACAAGTAACAGCTGGGATGGCTGCTGCTAGAGCAGAACATGGTGCTAGGAGTTTCAGTGATCTGAATGGGGGTAAAGCAACTTCATGGGGTAGATCTTTCGTAAAAAATGAGACCAAGTAGTTACATGCTGGTTTAGGACCTGGAAAACTCCAGTTCAAATCGCCACACTGCCATGACGCTTACTAGGTAATCTTAGGTCAATCACTTTTTTTGTTGGTATTGTGAACATAGGCTGGGTAGAACCACGTGTGGAGGAAAGGTGGAATCAAATGGGATGGATAATTTCCCAGCTTTGACACGTTGATGCTTCACGATAACAGCTAAAATACGGTTATCATAAGGAATCCATGTATTAGAGTTTTAGCTCACTGTTCTTCCAAAGTACTCAGAATTCCACACAGTCCCCCATCCTCACTACAGAGATCACCCCATAAGCTTTGTAGATTTAAACCCTGGCCTCCCTAGTCTAAGTCAACAAATTCCCATAGCATTTTGTAACATTCTGGCAGAGCAGCTATTGCTGAAATGTTCAATTTCTGTGTTCAGGATAAGGAATAGCAAAAAGGAGTGTTGAGACAGCCAACTGGCTTGGTCTCCTCACAACTTCAGTTTAATGTTTGTCCCTGTAACAGACATGGTTTTCAAAATATCACTTGAAAAACACACAGGTATCAGGAACAAGGAAAATAAGGGAAAGCAAACTCAAAGACATTATCTTTATAAAGTTCCATGAGCCCAGATCACTATAACAAAACAGTTCAAGGGGCTGCTTTGAGATTTTGACTTTGGGACAAGTAGTAAAATACCAGTTAGTGTGCAAAGCCTGTAAGGTATACTACCCAGAATGTTGGACTGGGGAGATCTGAGTACAACCCTCCGTCCTCAGTTGTGTGTTCACTGGGTGACCTTGGGTCAGTCACTCTCTGTCTTAACTTACCTCAAGAGAGTGGCTGTGAGGATAAAATGCAGAAATGGAGAGCTGCATACACTACTCTGAACTCCTTAGAGTGTAGGAGGGATAAGAAGTTAGAAAATTCCTTTAATTTGATCAAATGCAATTAATATTAATTAAAAATACAGAAATTATGTAAATAAAATGATGCTACTGAAATATGACAGTAGCCCATGATATATTTCCCATGTGACCTTCAGCACAGAAGATCGACAGGCTGTCAATCAGAAATGACCACAGTCCAAGTGAGAGTTAAATGTATTTTGATTGAAATGGGTTTGAGCATGTTTAATGTTGTATTGGACTGCAGCCATTTAACCTGGATTGTGTTTGGTTTAGACTTGATCTTGCTTCTTCCTGCATGCCATAATTTTCATGACAGCAGAAGCAATGGTATTGTAGAGACTAGCAGGCTATTTGCAATCTGCTGCCTCGGTTGTCTTTGACCTGATTCCAGGAAGTGTGATTGACTAGAATGGCAGTTGTGAGCATCCAGAACGGGACAGATTTATCTGGGTTATCTATCTGCCAGATGATAAAGTTCTTTTGACATTTCCTCTTGAGAAACACAATACACTGCTTTGTTGAATTGCTGCTGTCAGAGGCCTGTTGTCCACTAACATCAGTCTTGCAATACAGTTTTGTAACAACATGTTTTTATAAACTTCAAATGAACAGAAACTTTCCCACAAGGTTTAGAAAAAAGTCAGTGTGTACTAAAGTTCAGAATGTAAAAATAGTGCCGTTGACTAAGGAATGTATCCTTATCCAAGCTGATGAGCAAATATTGGTTTAATATTTACAATTAAATATTTAAATAAAAGAGTGCTAATTGTTAAACGAATGCTTGTAGGGATTTATTGATAAAGACATCTTTCTTTTGCAGCATATCACCTTTTGGCATCAGTTAGAGCAAAGGGAGCATTTTCTGGCATTCCCTAGTATTCAAACATTAGTCCAGGAACAGAATACAACTATCTTGTGGAAGGTCAGGCTCCACAGTAAGGTGGCATCACCTGGCGATATAAATTGTATGATTAAGCATTACAGGAGAGTATGAATCTGAAGGGGTACCTTTTGCATACTCCATTCTATCCTTTTCTAGCTCCCCCTCCCCTTTGAGTACCAGGAGACAGGACCACTCCAGCAGGTGAGTACACCCTGTTCAGGTAGATAGGAAGGCCCAGCAATGTGATTCCTACAGCACCCTAGTAAGCAGAGCTACGTTCTTAGGAGGGTTCACTATTCCTTGAATGCTATTTCCCCCTGCCGAAGATGCCTCCGCCTCCCAGATAAAGGGAAAAAGAGGCACAATACAGATGCCTGTGCTTTCCCCCTACTTAAATGCATTGGGTGTGTGTGTGATGCCCTCAGGACCCCCCTCATGGGGACCCCCATCTTTGATCCCTGTACACATGCACATCTTAGCATGGGCCTAACAATGAAAAAGAGAGTCTGCATCAAACTGATAAGAAAATGACAGTCAGTCACACTGAGGCTGTGAAAGGAATGTGAAGGCAGCTCCTCCACCAATTATGCAAAAGCCCATCCCTGGTGGGAGTCACCTGGAGGGCCAATTCCCCAAGGACCCCGGAGCCCCCTCCCTTGATAATTTGATCTAATCCAATGACCCAAATATCCAAAATAATAAGCAACAGGCCAATGCCCAGCTATTTCCCTCTTCTCTTGATGGCTGTGCAGGAAGGTTTCTGCCTTGACTCGGTCATGTAAACTAGGTAAGGCAAACTGTAATTTTTGTTGCAAAAACCATTTAACCTTTTAAAACTCCCCCCCGCTAGTTAAATAAAAACCTCTTTTATTTAAAAAAGTTTATTCCCCTCATTCTTCTGAGTCTTGGTCTGACTCTCAACCTTGGCATACATAGGGTTAAAGTTCTCAATATTTAATACCCCACAAAACATGTGTCTGCACCATGCCAGCAGAGGGATGCCTTAGCTCTTTAGGGGGCCTTCATGTGGACAGTGATTTGGATAAAAGGGGGAGATTTCTGACCGGAGAACATGAGATACATATACATACATACATACATACATACCCTGTTTCCCCGAAAATAAGACCTACCCCAAAAATAAGCCCTAGCAGGATTTCTATGCATTTGTGGTATAAGCCCTAGTGTGTCTTCTTGAGAAAAAATAAATATAAGACAGTGTCTTATTTTCGGGGAAACACGGTACATACATACATACATGTATATATATGAGTGTGTGTGTGTGTGTGAATGGAGGGGAAGAGTTAAACCTCCAATTCTCCAGAACCCCATCCAGATGAGACCATCTGTGGCTGCATCTTAGCATCCAATTACACTCAAAGAATTCCTGCTCCTGGATCTCCAGCGTGACTTGTAGCTTGGCCCTGAGCAGCAAAGATTGGAGGCAAAGGTTGGATATAGCTTTCTGAATCCATAGAATAATTCCCCAGATAGCATCACAAAATACTGGGAAAGCTCTCCGATTTCTCAGAACCCCTCATCAGGTTGGATGTTCAGTACAAAACAAAGAGTGGAGAGAGATTTTCACGGCATGAGAGAGAAGCCCCTGCTCTGAAGTCTGCAGAGCCTTAAAATGGAATATAGGATAAACTGCAGATATAACCAGACTACCCTGTTTCCCCGAAAATAAGACCTACCCCAAAAATAAGCCCTAGCAGGATTTCTATGCATTTGTGGTATAGGCCCTAGTGTGTCTTCTTGAGAAAAAATAAATATAAGACAGTGTCTTATTTTCGGGGAAACACGGTATATAGTGCTATGGCTTCGTTCTCCTTTGTTGTTACTGCTATGCCAAGAAAGGTTGTGATGAGGACGGTGCTATTCTATTTTTTATTATTTTAGTGAAATGTTTTCATTCATTTATTTTTATTATTTTAGTGTTTGTAAGCCACTCTGAGTGATATTTAGACAGAAGGCAGCATACACGTGTAGTGAATAAATAAGAAGCCGCAGGTGCTGCTGAGAC